CCACATTACCCGGCACCTTCTTCATCCTCCCAATGTATTTGAAAAAGGACTTTTTGTTATCCTTAATCTTGGACGCTAGTCCGAGCTCCATGTCCGCCTTGGCCTTCCTAACAGCTCGCCTACAGGCCCGAGCTGAGTAGGTATACTCCTCTTTGGAGATTTCACCCCCCTTCCACCGGGCGTACGCCGCCTTTTTGGCGAGCAGGCAGTCCCGGACGCCCTTGTTGAGCCAGGGGGGCTTACGGACACTCCTGCCCCCCTTGCTTCTTGTCGGGATTTTGTGCAAGCCTAGTCCAAGTGTAAGAGGAGTCCAGGGATTTTTCTGTGTCAAGCCACTGGTATATGGTCCCCTAGGAACATGATATTACTAGAAAATTGGCCATTCTTTGTCTTTCCCTATATATGCTCTCCCTCTCAAGCAGACGCCCATGTGCTGTGGTGGGCTGTGGATGGAGCAGAAGTTCCTGCACCTATGAGAAATTCCTATCAGGGGAATATGCTGTTACAATAAGTTACAGCTGGAGCATAACATGCAGCAGGCCTAATGGATCCAACCACCAAGACAGGTCCTCCATTATTGATTCCAGTGGGGATCTTTCATTTCTCATCTCCAGAAGTACTGCCCCTTTCTGCCTCTTAGGTTAGCAGAAAATTGCTTCCTCTTCCAAGGAGATGCTCTGTGACTCCCTACTTCGACTTTTCCTTAAGCTTATACTAAACTAGTGTTCCTACTTGACTAAATTGATTTGTATGTCTGCTTTTGCCAGATATCTGTATTTGTGTGCATTTTCCTGACAAGAAATCTATAGGAAATTGTCCAACCTCTGCTTTCATGAATCTTTTAAACAGCTAAAATTTGAACAAGAAACCTGTAAAAGAGGGTTGCTGGCCAAGTTCGCGGATGACACCAAGTTATGGGGCAGTGTGGCCATGCCAGAAGATAGGTTACTGATACAGGTGGACCTGGACAGGCTAGAGTTGGGCAGACCAGAACCAGATGAAGTTTAACAGTTCCAAGTGTAAGGTGCTCCATCTGGGGTCAAATACCCCTCAACATACACACAGGCTCAGAGGTGGCAACCTGACTTCACCACTGCCGAAAGGGACCTGGGGGTAATGACTGACCATTGCATGAACATGAGCCATGGAATCTCCATCCTTGGAGGTTTTTAAGACCCAGATTGACAAAGCTGTGGCTGGGATGAGATAGTTGAGGATGGGCCTGCTTTGAGCAAGGAGTTGAACTATTTGACCTCCTGAGCTCCCTTCCAAATCTAATTTTCTATAAGTGTCCAAACTACCACTTACATAGATTTCATAGATTTCATAGATTTAGGGTCGGAAGGGACCTAGTAGATCTTCTAGCCTGACCCCCCGCCAGGGTGGGAGAACAACAAAACCCCAAAACAAAAAACGGGACTCAAATGAGTCCAGCCAGGTAGGCATCCAGCCTCTTCTTAAAGACCCCCAGGGTAGGGGCCAGCACCACTTCCCTTGGAAGTTGGTTCCAGCTCCTAGCTGCCCTAACTGTGAAGTAGTTTTTGCGGATG